CTTCATAGAGTCTGACACATTTATTTCATATTTGGATATTTAACAAGGAAAGTCATTAAAGACTTACAACAAAACTTGATGATGAACGTGATGAAGTTATGTACAGTGTTTGTACCTTTTCCATCGTCAACTGTCGTTATCTGTTGTTAAGTAGCAATATACCAGAACGCATGCATATGGTACGTGTCTCCCAGATTCAACACGCAGTTGCATGCTCTACCTACAGCAATTCCTAAAATGAGACATGCTTTTGACTAATATCCGTAACAGGTAAGTAATAAGTTCCGTTTAAAGTAAGCATTCCGTCAATTTTATGATCAATACAACAACCTTATTAGCAACAGAGGCGTCGGAAGCAAAATCGAAGTAGGGTGGCTAATTGAAAGGGGGGAGGGGCAAAGCAACGAAAAAAGGTAAGCCGCAATTTTCAATGCTTATATTATGTCTATCTTTGAAAAAAATTTGGGGGGGGGAGGCTAAACACATCTGTTTCATATTTGGATATTTTACTTGAAAAAGACATTGATGGTAATCTAACAACCAAGCTCCATGATAAACGTGATGACTTTATTTTTTCGATTGTCAACTTTCCTTACTTAATTCATGCAGCAATATCTCTTCATCACCTGCATACGGAGTTTAAATATCTCAGTTGATTCGATATTTGCAAGAGCGTGCTCTACGTATGAACGATTTATAAAACCAGGTAAATTATTGACAAACAAGTTGATAAAACAAGAATATCTACAGTTTCGTTTAAAGTCATCATTTTGCAAGTTCAAAGGTCGATACGATGACCGTGTCATCAAGTACAATTTATCATTAAGTCAAATGCTGACTGACGTTTTTCACACTCGTTGTTATTCCATTATTTATACACTGAATTGACGACGTTTTCCGTTATTTTCCGATCATGAAAAGGAGCACACGGCGTATGTGACCGGTCAGCAGAGGATGCTCACTCCTGCATGGCACCTGATCCCATCTCTAATGTTTGTGAGGTCTGTGTTTGCTCTGCTCCTATTTTGTATTGTTTTATGGACTTTTGATCTTGAATACTGTTTGTTATCTCCATATGTTTCATGCGTCATCAGCTGGTTTGTAAATAGCATGCCCTGTTTTAATTTTTTTTTTCGTACATATGTTCTTGCATATGAAATTAACTTAGAGGTATTGACTCAATATGCAGGAGGTGATTAGAGAAGTTGACGATTGAAAAGTTAAATTCATCAGGTTTAATAATAAACCTTGGTATCAGGTTTTCATTAACGTCCTTTTTAAAAGTAAAATATCAAAGTATGAAAAGCATCAGACTATGTGGTTTTCCTTATTTCAAGCTCATTGGAATATATCGAGTCGACATTTGAATGGAAGTATCTATTTTTCAACATGATACATGTAAAACGTCGTTGGTTTATTTAAATGTAGAGTTGAAGGTCGCGGTAAGTGTTTTCTTCTTCTCAGGTAGAAGTCTCTGAATAAATTCTGCTTGACTCAATGAAATGAAATGAAATGTACAAATCCGTATGATACAAAATTATAATATAATATATATCATATATTCATATTTGAAATAGCGTGTTTCCACATCATTTGGAGAAAATAATTTAACATACGATAGTCTTCATACTTTCACCTTGCTATTTGCAAACCTCGATATACTTCTCTTAAATCATCAGTTATTATCCACAATCGATCATCATACGAAAATAGAATACAATTTAACTTCCTTGTAAAATGTGACAACGGTACCCAATGTGAAGCGATTACAAAGCTGCACAGCTGCTAATGTATAGGTATGCCTAGACTAATTAATCTCTGAAAGATTGAATGCATTAAATACATGATTTTAATCCATCTAATTTAAAACCTTTAACAATCTAGTCAGAATGCTATGTGAGATATACATGTACGTGCTGAAATAAACATTCAGGATAATGTTTCAGAGTGGAAAAAGATCTCTTTAATGATCAGATCGCATTTATGTAGTACAATTAGTCTATCACTGCTGAACTTTTTTTGGTTCAAAAGGTCTGTGATATATCATTGCGCTAATGAAGATTTTTTTTTTTATCTTTTAAAATATCGCTTCATTATCTTTAGAAGTATAGTTTCAAAATGTTGTCAATTTACACTAAAAGTATTTACTATTTAATTTTCTTCACGTCGATAATTAGATACGATAGAGAGCCACAAGTTTATTCCTTCATTTAGGATGTAAAATGACTGAAAACCATCGAGCTGTAGCAGAAGCATTTTCTATCATTGTGACCAACACTTAATATCCTTTAATAAATCGCCGTAATATACCAGACTATGTTCAACGCTTTAATGAGAACATTGTCCAAAACGATCGTTAGGTTGATCACGATGACAAAACGGAAATTTATTTATTGATGGTCCCATTGATGAGGTATTCCCAGTGGTGGGGGTATTTCTCCTTTAATTGACTTTCATCTCTTCTTTGACCATTTCCGAATCACTCTTCAAATCAAAACAAGGTGAATAAAAACTAGGATACTATTTGTTTATGTAAGGTTTGAATTTGATAAATGGTTATGGATTGCTTTTTGAATATATTCTTTATAATTTTTACATTGTATCTTTGCTGAAATCCTTTATTTGAGAAGATGGAAAATTATACACGTATCGCCTTGAATGCAGTTGCAATTACCATTTAAAACAGGCACTCTCTAACAATGCATTGGATTCTTAATGGAGAAAATTTACCCCCAAATTAAAATACTTTTTTTCCTAGTTTACAATTAGCGAGTCTTTCAATCGTTTTGAAGCATGTGAGCAGCTTATGAAATCTTGAAACGGTGATTCAAATACATTTCAAGTGTTTTGTGTCTGGAATCTTTGAATAAAGTAGATTCCAGAGCAACTACTGCGGCCTTATGTGTATTATGTCCATGGTCCTTCTGCGTTCTACTGTGATTTTAAGTTTGTTCAATAGACTTAATTAAAGCAGGAACATTTGTTTACTTGGTAAAGGAAACAACGGTCCCATCGAGCAAACAGCGCCCGAAATCAACGAAAGCTGAGAGCTTTTAATTGTCCAATGTCCATTTAAAATATTGGTCATTTTAAAATACCTATTTAAATAACTGTGCGTTAATCACGTAAAGTAAGTTGTCAAATATTGCACATGGCCGTTGTTTGGGTCCAGTAATGAGCGATCTTAATTCGATCAATACCCAATAACAAGCCATATAAATAACCCTCTTCCTTTACCCATGATCCGGGGTGCTGAGATTTGAACAGTGGATTTTCATTCAAGAGGATGCCATTCTAAGAGCTCAAAATTATGGGATAAATGAAAAAAAAAAATGGACTTGGTCAGAACAATTACGTTAATTCTGGTTAGTATTTGTTTTATTTTACAGTCTCAGGTATATATTTTTAAAAATTTTTTGCTTTTAATGCCTTTTTCTACAATAATCCATCATTAAATTATCGTCATTTAATTGTCATTAAAATCAAATATTTCATCCACCTCTCTCTCTCGCGCGCGCACAACAAATGATCACAACAAATGATATAAAAATTATTTTTAAATGACTTTATATGATGCATGTAGTACTATTATTTCCACATATATTTGAATTATATATTAACTATCATTTTAAATTATCTCTACGAAAATCAGCCGATTTATCCGAGATCTTTTATGAAATGCATATACATGTACATGTATAATACATGTACTTTGAAATCTTTCGAAGATAAAAAAGTTTTGTTCCGCTCTTTCATTTGCAAACGTTTTCTGAAAAACTATTGTTATCAATTGTACCAAAAGCTTTTAAGGCCATTATTTACAATTTTACAATGCTAGCAAATACACCCTTGTGCGGGTACATTATAATTTTTTACCATCAATATAAGCATTTCATATACATGATAAAATATACTTACTTTGTTTGACTGAAGTGTATGTAATGTTTTCAACTAAATATACAGGTGTTCTCTAACATCACCTTCTAGGGCTTGAAAAAAAATTAAATGACGATTTTGCATCATAAAAAATAATAAAACACTTAAGATACATGAACATGTATATGAACAGGGACCATAAAAACGGCGGATTGAAAAGGCAAAGCCATACATACATGTGTCAAGGAAGAAAATCCAATATGAACCGATTAATAACAATGTAGGCCTAATATGCCTTTTTGTAATCGTAAATTAAATTGTTGAAAATCAGTAGTGGGCAAATTTTCATGTGTACAATATTTGAATATTTAGTATAAAAAAAAAAACTTCAACTGTTATGAGAAAATACAGACAATCGGAATTTATCCGAAATTTAATTCCATTTTACTTCCTCAGGTTTCCTTAACAACAGTGGTAGGGTATCACGACCCCTTTGATAATGTGAACTATCACTGCTGGCCAAAGACTGCCTCAGCAACCAATGACACGCCGCTACCAAAGTGTGAAGGTACGTACATGTAAAATTAACCACAGGCAAGCAGCTATCAAAGTGTGAAGGAACATGTACTTACATGTAAAATCAACAAATGACACGCCGCTACCAAAGTGTGAAGGTACGTACATGTAAAATCAACACTGAAATGACACGCCGCTACGAAAGTTTGAAGGTACGTACATGTAAAATCAACACTAAAATGACACGCCGCTACCAAAGTGTGAAGGTATCTCAATGTAAAATTAACAAATGACACGCCGCTACCAAAGTGTGAAGGTACGTACATGTAAAATTAACAAATGCCACGCCGCTACCAAAGTGTGAAGGTACGTACATACATGTATAGAATTAACAAATGACACGCCGCAGTACCAAAGTGTGAAGGTACGTACGTGTAAAATCAACAATGAAATGACACGCCGCTACCAAAGTGTGAAGGTACGTACGTTTAAAATCAACACTGAAATGACACGCCGCTACCAAAGTGTGAAGTACCTCAATGTAAAATTAACACTGAAATGACACGCCGCTACCAAAGTGTGAAGGTACGTACATGTAAAATTAATAAATGACACGCCGCTACCAAAGTGTGAAGGTACGTACACGTAGAATTAACAAATGTTACGCCGCAATACCAAAGTGTGAAGGTACGTAAATGTAAAATCAACACTGAAATGACACGCCGCTACCAAAGTGTGAAGGTACACACATGTAAAATTAACAAATGACACGCCGCTACCAAAATGTGAAGGTACGTACATGTAAAATTAACAAATGACACGCCGCTACCAAAATGTGTACGTACGTGTGTGTAAAACCAACCCTGAAATGACACGCCGCTACCAAAGTGTGAAGGTACGTACAAGTAAAATCAACAAATGACATAACGCTACCAAATTTTGAAGGTACGTACATATATATACATGAAAATTTGAAACTAAATTCAATCCTGCAACTATAAATATGCACTTTTCTTGAATTTTGCCAGCAAAATTTTCGTTGAAAAAAAGAACTCTTTTGCATTTTTAATAGTGTAAACTTTTCTTAAGGTTCAGTGACCCTCTTACAAGAAAGATAACTCTCATCGGAAAATTACCTAAACACCTTAATAAAATGTTCATATTATGTTTGTCAACTTGTGAACTGTTCTGTAGGAACGATCCTGAGATGGGTGGATCCACCACCTTCCACCTTAAAAACAGAAACCGGATTTAACACCACATATGAACTGATACTTACATCCGACTTCTACACCTGGGCAGTCACTCAAAACTTCTTTCAAACTAAAGGATTCACGTATGTTATTTGATATTTTTGGAGGAAAAAAATCTATTTTATTTAAAAATCTTTGGCGTTTTATATATTGTGAATTAGATAATCTTATAAGAAGAATAGCTATTAATTAAGTTGTGAATTTTGATTCCTTCTTGTGAAGAAAAAAAGCAAAAATGTATTTCATTAGGATCGTTGAACAATCTCAATGAAATTTGGACTTGAAGACATTGATAAAACGTTCTTCAAAGAGAACACTATATTTCCAGTGAAGATCACATTTTCTGTCCGCATGTTTTGCAGCGATGGTCCCACTGCGCAGGCGTGGTGTGAGAATACGGTGTGTCCGTCGGCTTCTGCGGCCACAGCTGACAACTGTTGTATCCATCACGTGAATGTCCACTCCTGTCCGAGAGCACGGACAAGCTTCTGTGGACCATGGATTCCGCACGACGGACAGGTGTTCACGCACTCGGAAGCCCTCGTGGGTCCAGTGCAGCAGGGAAATTGGACAAGTTATGTCCCGGGATTTTATGAAAGCGGATTAACGTCGGTGATTGCACATTTTAAAGTGGCTGATATGCACTATGCTTTAGAAACTGTGATCAATGTTGTTCCGAAATCAGGTTTGTGTAATACTTTTTTTTATCTATGTCAAAAAATTGGAAGTACAAGTACTAGTTTATTAATATTTCATCTAATTATCACTGAAGTATTTGGGTTACTGTGTAAAAACACGTTTCCTTTTCAACACTTTTTACATCTGTTAAAAACACCCTTCAATGCTCGGTATTCTGCTAATCATACTCAGGAGCATAGAATAATTGAATAAACATAATATGATTGATACATTCTCGTCCTAAAACAAGAACTTTTAAGAGGAATCCTTGCACATCAAAATTGTGAATATTTTACCTGTTGAATTATTAGGAATGAAGAAAAAGACTTTCGAAGAATTACTTTATTTTGCTATATATACTCAGTAGAACCACAGCCTACATGTACACCACAATTCCTGACCCAAAGGCCATCAATTTCATGATTCAAAAGAGGCAACGTTGAACATCATTAAAATGCTCCTGAATACCGAAGATGATCACATTCACGGAACTGATGCATTTTCACTATGTAGTTAATAAAATCTCACATTATCACCCGTAGCCCTGAAGTATTTTTTTCTCTCTCACAAAACTGATGCATTTTCACCACGCAATTAAAAAAAGTCTATCTCTAACACAAGAACCTATGATCCTGGTATAATGAATTTCAGAAGGTTGGAAAATTCACTGTTGCTAATTATGAAATGAAATATATGGAGATAACGAATAGTATTCAAGCTTAAAAGTCCATTTCACAATGCACAATATGAGCGGGAAAAGGGACCTCAAAAACATGAGAGGTTTGGTCAGCCGCGTGCCCCTTGTCATGATCGGAATATAACGGAAAAAATCCGTGGACAACTCAGTGTGTAAATAATGGCCTAACAATAAGTATGAAAAACGTCAGTCAGCATTTCCCAAACTTATTCAACAATATACCCTCAACACCTTCATAAGGGGTAATATCTCTTAGTTGATTCGATGCGCAAGAGCTTATGCTACATATGTACAATTTCTAAAACGGGGTAAATCATTGACAAACAAGTTCCTGAAACAAGAATATCAGCAATCTCGTTTAAAGTCATCATTTCGTAAGTTCTATGGTCGATACAATGAGCATACGGCGGGTGTGACTGGTCGGCAGGGGATGCTCACTCCTCCATGGCACCTGATCCCACCTCTGGCGTTTTGGAGGTCCGTGTTTGCTCTGCTCCTATTTTGTATCGTTTAATGGACGTTTGAGCTTGAAAACTGATCGTTATCTCCATATATTTTATTAAGGAGGTGAATATATCGAAGTGTTTGATCTAAAAATATCTAGAAATAATACGGGCCCCTGGAAATAGCAGAGTTGGTATCATATGACAAGGAGGACTAATCATCCCCTAGCCTGTCAGCCACACAAGAAATATTTCAAAGCTTTGACAGATTATGCACAATGCCTTTTTATTTTATTAAACAAGGAAAGGCAAACGACCTATTCGGTAACTGTTGCTAAAATTTTATCTTATTAAACATATAAAAGAAATCTAATAAATCACAAGACATAAATACATTTGAAAAGAGTATAACTAGATCAAATGAAATCTTATTTGTTTTGTTTAATTTTCATCAAAATATCAATTTTTCACACAGCATGGCTAAAATATGATAAATTATTTTTCGCACACAAGTTTGAATGGTCCATTTATACCATAGCAGAATCCACTTTGTAAATAATTGTTTAATTTTTCAGTTCATGAACTATATCAATAGGATTTTTCTTCCAGATTTGCTCTGTGAAATTAGTAGGATATTTACTTTTAGTTATTTCAAAGAACCCCTGTAATGCATTGTCCGTTGTTGACTGAATTGTTTTGCCTGGTCTGTCCGTTGAATTATGAAAGCTCTACTTTACTATTTATAACAATATATCAAGTGTTTGATAGCTTATGGAACTTTGTAAGGTTAATTAAACAAATGGCAGTTAAAGTTATTTGTCCTCAAACATTAATGTACTTGGAATCTGAATGACATTTCCTATGTACAGGTGACGCATAAAATTAAACTGATTTTGTGGAATCTTAAAATTCTACAAACAGTTTTTAATATGTTCACTTATTTACAAAGAAGTTTATTAAATTTTCAATTCTAATTAATAAAATGAGTTTTGGAAAAAACAATTATGGGGTTATTTCAAAATAAGTCCATTTTTGAAATGGTTTTGTTGTAAAAGGAATTATTCAAAAAATGAATGCTTTTCATAAAGTTGAAAAAAATATTATCCTCTCATTACTAGTTTCTTAACAAGCATATTGTAACGTTTGCCCAAAGCCTTTTATTAGAATGAAGAAAAAGAAATTACTAAACTGTCATGAAACATATGGATATAACGAACAGTATTGAACATCAAAAGTCCATCAAACAATACAAAATAGGAACAGAGCAAACACAGACCTCCAAAACATCAGAGGTGGGAGAATTCCCTGCTGACCGGTCACACCCGCCGTGTTATCCTTGTCATGATAGGGAAATAACGGAAAAATCCGTCGTCAATTAAGTGTATAAATAATGGACTAACAATTAGTATGAAAAAAACGTCAGTCAGCAGTTGACTCAATGATAAATTGTACTTGCTGACACGGTCATTGTATCGACCATAGAACTTGCGAAATGTTGACTTTAAACGAGACAGTTGATATTCTTGTTTCATCAGCTTGTTTGTCAATGATTTACCTCGTTTTAGATATTGTTCAAACGTAGAGCATGCTCCTGCATATCGAATCAACTGAAAAATATAAACTCCATATGCAGGTGATGAAGGAAACTTGCTACATAGATAAGGGATGTTGACGATTGTAAAGTCAAAGTCAGCACGTTTATCATAGATCTTGGTTTTATATTACCATTAACGTCTTTTTCAAGTACAATATTCAAATATAACAGATGTGTCAAACTCTGTGGTATCTTTCATCTCAAGCTCACCAGGATAGATCGTATCGACGTAAGAATGGACGTTATTGTTGTTATTTGACAATAGGTCGTAGATATATCTAAAGGTCGTTTTAAAGGCCAGAGCAAGTGTTTTCTTCTTTACATATATAAGATTTTGGACAAATTATGCTTAATATGAATACAAAAATAGGTCTGCTAATAACGGGGCGCAATCGGTTCCAAGGGATAAGATTTCCAATGAATTGTTGGAAGATCTGGTCTCCAAAAAACCCCATGGATATTGTCAATCAGAAACTCCAGCATCCATATTTATTGATAAGCAGCTGTCAATGATATCAAAGAGCTTGGAATTTAATTTATCGTGTGGAATGGTTGTGTATCAAGTTGAAAAGTCGTATGTTTTTAAACTGGTTGATTTTGGTAAAACCTTGTAATTTCAAATCGTCCAAAAGTTCCTTTGAATGTTTAAGTATCCACATCTGATTTACACCACTTCTTGAATATATTGTCGCACAGTACACTCTTGAAGCTTCTCCTTCGCTACTGCTAATATCTTAGTGAGGAGTAGAGAAAGAGCTTGGTTGAGCATTTACTGGAACCCGCTATGTAGGACTTTTATGTAACTTCCGAATCCAATATAGATATGGTAGTTCAAATTCATTTTGGTTCTTTGGGATCTTTAAAATTTTCAAACCTGACATATGATTTTGAAGATTTTCTTCCTTAGAAAGGGAACTATACGTATAAGTTGGATTACCACCTATAGAATTAAATCCAATTTCTTCTAAGATATAATGTATAAAATGAACCTTCCTCACGACCTAGAATGTATAATAATGTCAGATTCAAAACTTTCAAAATGATAAATTCGTATCAGTTAATTTGATCGTTTTATTTTGGAACCAATGTCAGGTCAGGTCATATATTTTCCCTTCACATTGAAAATTAAAAAAAAAACCCACCATTGCCAATTATGCGATGCCTATTTTTATTTCAAAAGTTTAAATATTTTCTTTTCGCGTAAAAATATATTACCATATAGGGTCTTTTAATAGATGGTACTACCAAATCGACATGAATTATTCAACTGGATAAAATCTAGTTCAAGCTATTTGCACAATTGTTAGCAAACTAGATTTCAAGTGATATGGATAGATTTTTATGGATGGAGAAGACGCTACAAACCGTGTATGAAATTAAAAAGCATCTTCAAAGTAATTTTGAGAAACTTTCTCGACATTGATTGTGACGTTACAATGTTGGTTAACCGTGCTCCATGGTATCAAAATGTGTTACTTTAAAATTGGCTAAATTGAGTTCTATTTATTCAAATGGATTGAAACTTCATACTTTGACAAAATAAAATGTTTTTATTTACAAAAATTGTTGATCAATAATCTTGTTATATTAATATGACGATGAGGAACATTGTTTACGATTTTTTTAATGACCCTCGTTTTCAGTTCTTTGAAAATGAACAATAAGAAGAGTACTGACTATTTTAGCGGATAAAATTTTAGCGGGCTACCATCAAAACGCCAAAATAAGCTAAAATTAGCACCCCGCTAAAATAACCCGCTATACGGTAGTTTGTGTCTCCCAGTCGATTAGGTGAGCAAGATCATGCTTCATCTACGAAAACTTTCTAAAACAAGGCAAACCCTAAGCTTTAACAAGGAAAATGATAATTCTGACTGATGTTTTCATACTTGTTGCTAGGCCATTATTTACACGCCAAATTGTTTACGGATTTTTTTTTTTCGTTTTACCGATCACGTCAAGAGGCACACGGCGGGTGTTACCGGTCAACAAGGGATGTTTACACCTTTATGGCACGTGATCAAATTTTAAATGGGCAATTTGTTTGCAAACCCTTTATACAGTATACTGGTTATTTCAAATAGCAGTATATGAATTCGATACATATACAAAAATGTTCACTGATTAACTTGTTCTGACTGGTCAAGGAAAATTTATTTCTATTAACTATATTCATAATAGTATGAGGATTGGAACGTCACATCAGACATGAATTATATGTGAGTACCTTATGACTTTATCAGTTCTAAGATGTCCGACTTTTTATGCGCAGAGTTCCGCACAGCTTACATTTAATGATTATAGAAGCCCGTGTTTGCTCTTCTCCCCAACAGGATTGTTTCAATTATTCCCGTTCAATATCTCCCTATTTCACAAATATTAAACTTCCAATCAAAGGGTTATGTACGTACTGGTATATATGAGTTGAGTTTTTACGCACCACGTGATTAATCTTTACAGTTTGTGGAGACGGAACTTGTGACACGGACCTATTGGAAGACTGCTCTACATGCCCGAGGGATTGTGGGAAATGCCCGCTACAGGCACACGAGATTGCTCTTATCGTCGTCTTCTCCTGTCTTGTCGTCATCGCAGGAGTCATTGTATTCATTGTACGTGGGCTTTTGTTGAACTTTAAAAAATTTCAGATCAACATATGATATTGCCGTTAATTATCTGATAAGGATTTAGATTCTACAAGCTACATATACACCGATACATCTGACTTGGTAGATATTACGTACGCAAAAAAAGTATGCAAAAATTACGGGCTTACGTTTTAACAGATATAGACTTCTTTACAGTATTTCCAGTATCAGAAACGAAAGCTTCTTTGGGATGAAAGTTGGATTATTCCTTATGAAAAAGTCCAAGAAGGTACCATAAGTTCTGAAAATTGCCTTTATTTTGTTTTACTCAAATTAAATATTATTAATATTTGTCAAATTAACCTCATTTTGATTGCTAGATGAGGGTCTTCGTGGAGCTTTTGGTAGTATGATCAGTGTCAACATGGGTGCCAGTACAGACCTGACCAGTGGTACAACAAGTAACATGTCAATGTCCGCTCAAAGAAAGCAAGTCTTCGCTAAAACAGCCATTGTGTGAGTAGTATTTCAGAGGTTTAAAAGTAGTTTTGGTATTGATAGGCACAATGAGTTCAAGATAGGGAGAAGGCTTTGTCTGTTCATATAAAACAAATACATTGTATGCACATAAACTCTTTTGCATTTAATACATACATATATATTCATCAATATTTAAAAGACGGATTACTTGGCCAACATATTTATAACAAAAACACTGAAAAATTATCATTTATTTCTACTCAGCCAATGTTTTAGTGAATAAGAATCTAAAAATGATACACTTAGAAAAGAGATCAATTTAAGAGGAGAATCGGACTAGCCAATATCCATTTTATTTAAATTAACAAAATATAGTTTGCCTATTCCTTACTTATCAATCGGATACAGAAAAAAAAATAGGAATAATTTTTAACGTCCCAATAGTGTTGTCCAATAAGTTTACTTAAATATCAATGTCTACGGTAAACAATATTGATGAAACTTTTTTGAGCAATATTTAATATATTAGTTAGAATTCATCGTATGTTTATGTTGTGAATGTACAAAAGATACCATTATTTTTTAATTGTCTTTTTAAAATCTTTTAGCGAGGGAAAAACTGTTGCTGTGCGTAACGTGAAGAAAAAGGAATTCACTCTGACTAAAAATATCAGGATAGAAGTTAAAGAAGTCAGGTAAATAACCAGAAATCTTATTTTCAAGTGAAAAAAAAAATTAAATAATTTTCCAAACTCTAACAGAGCCCTTAATTTAATTATGACATTCAGTAAATAACCTGAATTTATTTAAAATTGAACACTTTTGTTACTTTGACTAAGTATGAGAACCTTACCATGTTTGTTGTAGAGAGCTGGATCACCAGAACCTCTGTAAACTGGTGGGTTGTTGTACTGAAGTAGCTAACTTTTGTGTCTTAGTGGAATATTGTCCCAAAGGAAGCATCAGTGATGTCTTGTTAAATGATGATATTCCACTAAACTGGGCTTTCAGGTAAAAATGAAGAAATCAAACAAAAAGACTTAAACACAAGCAAACAAACCAAATGGAAGCAAAACGAGGACAAAACCACGAATCTGATTTATTGTTTTGTACCTTTAGATTTTCGTTTGCAACGGATATAGCTAGAGGGATGGCCTATTTACACTCCTACAAAATAACTCATGGACATTTAAAAAGTAATAATTGTGTAGTAGATGATAGATGGACTGTAAAAATCGCAGGTGAGGAATTCGTACTTAGTCTCCAACACTTTATATCTAACTTAATTATGTAAAGTAACAGCTAAAATTTTATAACGTAAATTAAAGAAAATAACTCCTGGTAATTAAAGTAAATGAAAAAGAGTTTTATTAACTTCATTATAAATTTTTGATTTGTATAAATTTTGTTTGTTTCTCAACACCATCCAGACTTTGGTCTGACGGAAATTAGGAGAGACGATGAGATGATTCTTACTGAAGATGACAAAGAAGACAGATATTATAAAGATAAACGTAACGAAGTCTACATAGCACCGGAACTGAAAGGTGGCGCTAGTGTTCCATCTTGTAATGGTGATGTGTATTCATACTCCATCATTCTTGTGGAAATAGCCACACGCAATGATCCATTCGGAGTACGTACTTATATAAAAAATAAGTATTTATATTATTTTCCAGCTTTAAGATGCCTACAAATATTTAAACATTTTGATATTTAAAGGATGAAGACCCTTTTGACATTCCTAAATGTTGGAAGCCACCTCTCCCCGATTTATCTCTGGAAATGGCCGAAGATGCTGATAGCGCATGCCCATGCCCCAAAGACTATAACTTTGTATGTTTATAAACCAATTTCAGATTTGTTTTTTAAATAAAATATTTTTCTAATAGCTGAACAATTTCAATGCTAAAGCTTATGTTATTTTAAATTCTGGAGAAAGGTGGTCTTGATTTAATTAAAAAAAATTGTTCCATGAAAGCTGAAATCTAAAATTGTATTGCTTTTTGAAAGAAATCCTACTTTAAAGAAATGTATAAGAAACAGTTAAATTTTCTGTTATAGTTAATTGCAGATTGTTGGAATGACACACCAATAAACAGACCGACCTTTGAAAGCATAAAAAAGACTCTACACAAAATAAATCCACACAAAATGAGCCCAGTGGACTTAATGATGAACATGGTTAGTTTTGTACAATATATTTTAAAACAACCGGAATTTTATAGAATTTATTAACTCACTGCCAGGAATTTTGTCTAGATGGAGAAGTATTCAAAACATTTGGAGTCCATTGTTGCAGAAAGGACTCAAGAACTTGTTGTTGAAAAGCAAAAGACGGATAGGCTATTATACAGTTAGTAAATTTTATTTAACTACTAATATCAATGTCATCTTATTGATTTCTTTACTGGGAGAACTATCTAAAACATCGCTTAATTTCCTCATACGTTCACGAAGTTAACGTTGATTTTCTCGTAGGTATGTTACCTAAACAAGTTGCAGATGATCTGAAAATCGGTAGGAGAATAGAAGCAGAATCATTTGACGCCTGCACAATCTACTTCAGCGATATAGTTGGATTTACTTCCATTTCCGGCGGAAGTACACCTATCCAAGTGGTGGCGCTGCTGAATCATTTGTACACAACCTTTGATTCTGTAATCGACAAATACGATGTTTATAAAGTGGAGACAATAGGAGATGCATGTAGGACAATTTTTACAGTCTTACGAATGTTTATATTAATATTCATGTACGAGGTAATGTAAAAAAGCGTAATTTTTACAAAGTACTCTTGAAAGAAATTATCTGACTAATTGTTTAATAATCAAGTTTTGTTTTTTAAATCAATTTGATATTAACTATTATAGTTTGTTTAACTATCAAAGGAATGGATAAAACAAAGTTTTTGGAAAAGACATGCAGTATTTTCGTTTATCTTGTGTGGCGATCGTAATATTTTGTTAAACTTTTATATAAGATATGGTTGTCTCTGGAATACCTTGTCGAACACCCTTTCACGCACGCGAGGTTGCTGACATGGCGATTGATCTGGTGTCTGAATGTACAGTTTTCCAAATACCTCATTTACCAGACACTCCACTTAAGATCAGAGTGGGATTACATTCAGGTTTGTCTAAAGAAATAATTTTAATTGCTAATGTTATTTAAATACTTGTCAAACAACAGAGATATACTCTGTATTCACACTTTGACTTCAGGTTCAGCTTGTGCCGGAGTCGTGGGCGTCCAGGATGGAATCAAATGAAGATGCAACCACACGCTATTGAAATTTATATCAACTGTGGTTGAGAGTGACACCGTCAACACAGCTTTTGAAATAATAATTTCTAGGATGCATTTCAATCAAATGGCGAAGGTCTGAAAATTGTTCTTTTGAAATAAATATTTCAGAAAAAAATGAAACTGCTATCTTTTGTGCGGAATGAAATCTTTTATGATTTAAGCTAATGTTATGCTGTTGCTTTTGACTTTTCCAGCGTACAAAATTCACATCAGTAACTTTACATACCTGGAGTTAAAGAACATTGGTGGCTATCAGTTTGAAAAACGTGGAACAATACCCGTGAAGGTTTGTATCAATTCGATTAAGTAGATGTTAATATTCCAACAATAATTATTTTCGTCAAAAGCAAATGTTGCCTACACAAATGCAATTTTGTCTTTTTTGTGTAATAATTAAAAAAAAACAACATTTTTATTCATATGTATATTTTTTTGCCATTTGCTCATGGTAAAAGTTCTTTAATATTAAGAATATAATAAAAGGTCAGCTATGATGTAAAATAAACCATCATCTCCATCATGTAAAACATCTCACTTATTTAAATTCTGTATAGGAAGAAAAAAAATTTTATTGCAATGAAATAAATTAATAAATATATTGAAATGTTCAGAGACAAATCTCATGTAAAATCTATAAACTGTACATATATTTTCCGATGTATGAAGATTATATGCATACATCATGATTTGGGGTATCCCTTCTTAATAATACTTGGATCCAAATTTTAATCTCCTTAGGGAAAAGGAGATATGGTCACATGGTGGCTGCTAGGCAATGATAAAAAGGTTACCGGAAGTTCAAATAAAGATACTCCTCCAGTCCAGCAAACTATTCTACCTCCGGATGACATTAAAAATGATATTTCAAGTGAAGAACAAAAACAAGATCTGATTGACTACAAAGAAGAACAAAATACCACCCTTCAGAATATGAAGGACACACCTTATATATCAGATGATAAACTGTTCACCCCTGTAGAGCTCCAAGATTTTGGTGTTTACAAAGAAGAACAAAATACCACCCTTCAGAACACTGAGGACATCAGTTATATATCAGATGATAAACTGTTTACACCTGTAGAGCTCCCAGGCAAGTACAAGTAAAACTATTAGACATAAAATCCGGTTTTATTGGTGCTTTTTATTTGAATTTATTTGTTAACCACATGCTTTTTTTCTAATAAATTTAAGAAAGTTTTTGTTCAATTCAAAGGTAGAAATTTAGCTTTTGATTTTAAATATATTTTTCCTAAATATCGTTTCTTCTTTATTCATTTTTGTATCTCAACGTCACCTTTTGGTGCATCAAGAATATTTCAAAACAATTTCATAATACTAGTATCTTACACAAACAACAAAGTTCAATTTAAAGAAAAGGAGGACAAAATGAACCATAAATACAATAATAAACGTTTGATACTTTGCAGAAGAGAAACCCAAAACGAGGAAAATAAGCCAGATAAGTACATCAAACGATTCCGGATACAACGAGAAGCAGGGATCCGGAAGTCTGGATGACGTCAACGAAATTGTCGTGAAAAGCTATGCTTCTCTAAATGGTAAATATGTTAAGAGTCTTGCAAATCTACTTTTTCTACATTTTCCATGTGTTGTTTTATTTTACACTGTTAAATTTACTTTTTATAGACGCGCTCTCTGAAGAACAGGAAAATGTTCGAGGCAAGAAAACGACGCATTTCTTGATACCTGATGGCCATGAATAGCTGTTAATTTATACATTGTGATATTCCAGTGTAACAACATGTTCTTCTCTTAATATAAAACATATTTAAAATAAGGCTATTTTTAAACGAAAAAATGCATTCTGTTATTTCCTCAACTGCATACAATGATGCACATTTGTTGACGCAATTTCTATTTTATTATAAAAATAAAGCTATATAGACGAGATATGTTTCCTCTTGTCAATGCCAACAGCTTGCAATATAAATTTATAATATATTACTTTTTCTTAAATATATATAATTAAGGAATTACCTGTGAATTTCAACAGCTTGCAATATATTATATTATTTTTTTTAAATATATATAATTAAGGAATTACCTTAAAGACTGAATTCAATTTTGAAATATTCTTGAGGACGTGAACTTGCATTTAGCTTCATGCGTACGAGCTCCATAATAAATATGCTGGTGTAAAGCATTCAAGTTTTTTACCACGTGAATTTTCAAAAATTCAATTCTGAGGTTATTTATTACTTGCCACAGTTTGATGTCATTCAACTATCTTTTTTGACACAAATTTGATTGCATTATAATTTGACGTCATCTGTGAGACATTCAAGCTCCTCGTTTCTAAGTTCTTGACAAGATGAACAGTTTTTTTTAAATTATAATCTCAGGGAAAATGATTGGAAATGTATACTAGAATTTTGAGAAGTGGACAACACCAATCAATTGGCATCATTATTATACCTCACCACTTTGCAAGTATAGCTTATTTCTTTGCTAAGCTGTCAATAAAGTAAAACTGTAAGATTTGAAAAGTCTTACAAATTTCACATTCGATCTACATAAACATATTCATTTCATTAAGCAAATTGTCAACTGAATTAGCGGTTGAGGATGTTCCGTTTGGTAAAGAAAGCACTCGCAATATTCCTGGATTCTGTGGTAAAATGTCAGTAAATTGCTCAACTTCTAATGTTTTGATAGTTGGAACCTTTTTTGGCCTGTCCTCTCCAAGAAGCCAGTAAGTCTGCATTTCACCTTTGCCCTAAAACCAAAAGCACTTCAATGTGTACATGTATCTATAAGTACACAGATAGTATTATGCATAGTACATGTATCATAACCAAAAACTTTTACAGGGTTATACGTGTTTTAATTTTTTTTTTATAAATTTGTTTTAATAGTATAAAAAATGAACAATAATTGATAAAAATTTGTATTCTCACTTACTTTGACTTGTATTTTCTCCCGTGCCTCGAACTTGAAACTCCCAGTTTGTAACAGATTATACGTGTTCCCACTAATATGGATTTTATAAGCTAAAAAATGAGTTAAAAATTCCATAAAATGAAACATGATTGCTCATTCCTCAAAATAAGACCATTAGATTGTTTGAAATATATAGGAGACCACAATTTACTACCTTCTCCATTAGACTCCATCCTTGATGCCGTGTTAACTGTATCACCAAACAGACAATACCGAGGCATCTTAAGACCCACAACCCCAGCACAAACAGTTCCTTGTAAATCCAACAAAAAAAATTCATATTTTCAACAATCTCTACTCCTATACCCTCGGGGAAATTTTGAACTTCACGAGAATAAATCACCGTTAAGCATTTTTAATGATGTAATAACATAATTATGCATTTTAAAATAACCTTAAAAATTGATGGTTTTTTGAAATTATATCTTAAAAAAGAACGAGGGCGCTTTTGATTGGCATTCGGCAGGAATCTGGGCGTACTTAAAAAGTGAAAAATTTATCGACATGTCTCATGAAATTTTAACATTTTTTTTATTTATCGGGTCCCTGTGCAACAGGAAAGGAAAATATTTTCCCGAAATTGAGCTTTGATTTGCTAAAAAATAACTTGAAAAATGGCCAGATCAGACATTTGGTACAGAATGGTATATTTTTAAACACATTTTTCTAAAATTTTTCTATCTCTGGGTCTTCTCTCCGTGATTTTTAAACGTTATTTGTGTGTATTTTTATTCAAAGAAACGAATACACATTTTTAAAAAATGGAGAGAAGACCCAGAGACCACGAAAAATGAACTTTTCCCCCCAAAAATCCAAATGTGTGAATGTGGTACTCCTTTGTCCTTTTAAAATAATCTGTATATGTGTAGCGGTGGTAGCTCAGTATGTTGGGCTACTTGTTCAGTGCACTCGAAGCGAAAAGGTTTTGGTTCGAGCCTTACATGGGGCATTATTTTTTTTTCATGCAAACCATTTATTTTGTCAGTTTCGTTTCATGTACTGATGTATAAAAATTTTGAGTTAGATCTATAATTTTGGTTCAGTTTGGTTCTCGAGCGAAATCAATTCCAATCTTCTATAATTTTATAATGTATTTGTACACGTATCATGCATTAAATATTTAAGTGTTTATTTTTTGTGAAACATTACTACATGTATGTTATAGTAACCCCTAGGAAAAACGGACATAAATGTTACAATTTGACAAGGTCTTTCAAATTAAATGGAAAAAAAAAAACTATAAACGTGTTCGTAAAATCTGACCAGCTATGTTTAGCCAACCATATCATGGACATTTAAATCATAAATGTTTCGTACAAATGATTCCTGCAGATCACACGCCTAATGCGCCCATCTTCTTTTTAATGAAAAAAAATCAACCAAACGAAATTGAAGTTCAAATTTTCAATTCTTATTTATCTGTATTACTATAATTCATATGAAAAATTAATTCGGATAATCACTATCAACATTTTATTCATTGATATATCTTTAAAATCATATAATAAATCAAATAATGAAGTAAAAAGAGTGAAAAGAGTATGGTTTTTACCTGAGTGAATACCAACTCTAATTTTAAGTTTTTGTCCCGGAAGGTGTGGTATGGCAAACACCTGACATTTCTTTACCAAGTCTATCGCCATCCGGGCTATTTCAGCAGCGTGTGTTGGGTAGGGTTCGGGAACCCCTGAAGCTACCATATCTTGAAATTTGAAAATATATGGAGATCAATCCATTCCGATGAGCAAACATAGGAATAGATTTTTATTTGTATTTCAACAATAGATATTTTATAAATATAACTTACAAGCATCTCCAATAGTTTCCACTTTGTAAACATGATACAGTTCTATAACCTCATCGAATGTTATATAGAGTTTATTAAGAAGATTAACAACATCCATAGCAGTACTGCTTGAGCAGAGTGTGGTGAAACCAACTATGTCACTGAAGTAAATGGTAACATCCTCTAAATACTGGGCTTCCACCTGGTAGCCCCGCCTCAGTACGTCCGCCACTTCTTTGGGCAGCATACCTGTGATAAATAAAACATAATGTTATTTTCATCTTGATCATTGTTTCAATCAGAGTCTAAGTAAATAATCTTAGAAACATACATACACAGGGACATATATTTTCTACCAGTTGTATGTTTTTTTGTCTGGATGGTCACAATTACGAAATAATTATTAAAAAGGTGTTCATGAATTTTAATAAATGAAATCTCGTGCCATTACTTTTATGATGTACTGACTCTGAGATTTTCTTTCTTTGCCCAATTAAAGCAAAGATCTCATGGAGTGTGTAGCTATTTTACAGGGAATATGCTTACTCCCTTATGACCTGATACCAACTCAAAATTTTAGTCCATGATTGTTCTCGTGTTTATTAAAATTTTTAGTATAATTACTGGTCGTTATCTGAACTTTCGTGCCTTAATGCGTAAAGCAATTTGATGGATTTGCCGGTGGAATATATTGATAAAAGAAGAAAAAAAGAAAGAAAAATTATCAATCAACAATCAAATGATGTTCAGTTGGTCCAACAGCAATCATAATTACTACAAGACTACAAAAAGCTGATAGAACAGAAATCCAGAAGGAAATCAAACCAAGAAACAATCAAACATTGTCAACGGCCACCCTATGAGAGCAAGGTACGGAATAGTCGTACATTACAGAGTGGTAGATTTAGTATAATACAACTGAAAGTCATTACACAGGAAGTTCAAGATCAGAAAGTCCAAGATTATTTATTCATCCTTCTTGATATCTGATAATGATGTATACTCTAAACTTTGATTCATCTAGAAGTTTGAATATCGTTTAAATGTCTTCAAAATTTAAAGGTTTAACTCTCGTATATCATTTGGAACAACTATAGGTTTGAACAGCTCTTTAAAAACAGAAAGATGTGAATGTGATTCTTATTTTTTAAAATGTTTCATTTTAAAAAAGCTCTTTAAATAATAGTATTATTAGTTTAAATAACATATTCTTTTCGCAAAACAAGGTACAAACTATATAGTAATCGATCCGTCCTCTGTTTTTCAATCATCAAATCATTTGTTCGTTCAGTCACGATCTGTTCCAGGTGCTTGGAGTACTTCTCCATCTAAAATCAGATCGTTAGTAATGAGTTATTTGTAATTATTTCTATTGCGACTATTTATTTATTGTCAAATTCAGTAAGATTAATGAAGCATAAAAATGCTAAGTGCTTGTAAATATGATAATTCAATTAATTTTTATTTTACATTGCAATTAATGTTAAATGTAATTTTCTTTTTTATGTATAGCTATTTGACATGCTATAAAATACGAGTCTGATCCAATCTTTTATTTTATAATCAAAAGAAAACGTGAAAGAGAGATTGTTTGTTTTTAGGTCATTAACCATATGTCGACCAAGAATTTTCCGATTACAATCAATGCGTCATTCACTTCCAATGATTACATGTCAAATAAAAACATACATATGTTAGAATGTCCCATAAATTCACATTAACGGTAAAAAAATATCATTAATTTACTAGGAGTTTTCTGATTTGGTTGATCAGACCTACCATTGCCATCATGAGATCGACAGGGTTTTGCTTATTGGGGTTGATTTTGTACAGTATTTTCCTTGTATTACCAAAGGTGGGCCTCTCCGAAGGTCTGGAATCTAGACACTCATCAATCAGCTGAGAGCAAACAAAGCCAATGTGAAGCTTTAGACTATAATTGATTTACTTAATAAGAATATAGTGATCTGCAATTCAAAATGAAGCTTTTAAGTTTTATTCTTATATCCATTTTTATAGGAAATGGAACTAAATCTTGTAC